CTCCCCCCTCCCCCTCGGTTGCTACTTTCTTACCCTGGCAGCAGCTTAAATCGCGTGTGGTTCGTCTTTCCCCCCCTCCCTCCCCTCCCCTTCTTCCCCCTTCTTCCCCCTTCCCCCTTCTTCCCCCCCTCTCCCCCCTCCCCCCCCTTAACCCCCTTTCTGCCACCCTACGGTGCCCCTCATACCCTTCCTAGACTCAGGCCCTCCGCATTGCAAGACGCGCTGCAAGAGAACCCCCAGCTTTTGCATCTCTTCCTGAATCAGCTGTACGGCAACTTCGCGGCGGCTCGGCGCGGCGGACCCGCGGGTCAGACGGGAAGTGGCGGCAGCGGCGGCGGGGGGGATGGTCAAGGCACCGGAATGGGCGGGGGGAACGAAGGGGAGGGGGACGAGGTGCACCCTGAAGTCTCGTGTCGGATGACCTGAACGTGATGCGATACGTCGCCCCGATTGCGGCGAGGGCGACGGCAGGCGGCGGTCATGGTACGCGGGTGGGTTGGTTAGGGGTGGCAGGGCAGTGCCGGTTGATTCTGTTGCTGCGCAACTGCGCCTGGTCCTGGTGTGGCCGCTGTTGCGATGGATTTACCGCAAGTGGGGCTTTATCGGGACGTGCGGTAGCTCGTGGGGTGCCGGCGGGCTTCGTGCCGGTTTTTATGTGGGGACGGTTGACGTGGAGGTGAAGAGGTGGAGCAGGGTTGGTTGGGGTGGTGCTGGTGGTAGGAGGAGCATGCAAACGGACAACAAACGAACGGACGAACAGATGTACGGACGGATTCATATAGGGCACGCATTGGGGGGGTTTGGAAGCATTTTTAAAAGGCTCCGAAACTCTGCGGAGCAGTGCAGGAGATGAGAGTCGTGTTTTTCCTCTCTTGGACTGCCTGGCGGAGGGGGGGGCCAGGGGCCAGGGGGGTTGGCACGTCGTCCGCAAGAGTGCACTTTTGCTTGTTTGGTCTATTCATGTCGGAATGGCACAATCCTGTATTCGTACGGAGGGTTGTAGGGTGTACGGCAGCGCATGATGCAGCGGACTGCACGGGAGAAAAAGGAATGTGTAAACGCTTCCGGTGGCTGTGTTGGCAGGGCAACGGTGGTGGTAGTGGCGGGGAGGTGGTGTCTGTCTCTCATCTTGCAGTGGCTTGTTCCGTACAGCATTCATTTGACATCCACGTCATTACCCACTCCCGAGTGCGAGTGTATACATGTATGTATGTTTGTATGTACGAACAGTACGGAAGATGGCTCCGACGGAACCGAGTACCGCATACGCACGAGGCCGCGGACTGACCGGACATTAGCCTCAACATACCATAAACACTGCTCTGCGCACACAATTACACACATACATACATACACACATACATATGTATCTAGATCGATGAGTCAAAAGTGCAAAGCCAAGGAGAGGTGGACAGCTGCACGAGGTGAAAGAAACGGCCACCTACGGGTTCCTGTTACTGCATCACCCTCCCGCCGCGCCCTGCGCCCTGCGCTTTTTCCTGCTCCAGCGGCTTCCACCTTTTCCACCCTCCTCCCTACCGCCCTGGAACCCGACCCGTACAGGAAAGGAGAAAAGCGCACATGTCGCTGTATCTACTTGCACGTGCTTGATTGTTTTTTTGTGTCCCACAAAAATTCTCATAAGGTCCGGTGCGGGAACACCCAAACCTGCCGCAAGAATAAAAGGCTTTACAATCTACTTTCAAGAGACCAGATACACCAGATACAGATACGCACCGCAGAGAAAATAAGTTAAGAATATACGGTGCAATATACAGGTTTTTGATAGCACGATCCCCTGTTTTTGCACAGATAGCGGCGTAAACTATCCCCCGCCACGCTGTGGCGCCTTAGATGCATCAGCCTGCAATCGGAGGTCGTCTAAGTTCCGTCGTGTAGTTACTATTACGCCGTACTCTTATCTGTACCGTACTGATTGTCCCCCGCAGTTATGGCAATGGCCGCGGCGCCCGCGGCGCCCGCGGCGCTCGTTCTGATGTCACGTTATTGATGTGGTGATTTGCGAACCGAGGAAAGTGAAAAATAAGCAGGTGCTGTTGTTCCCCGCGCAACCAGCAACAATAAGCGCCTTCCCACCCTGTTCTACACACACACACAGACGGAGATAAGCTTTGTCTTCCCACCACCTCTTCCCACCACTACCACATCTATCACCACCATCACCAGCTCTATCACCACCACCACCACCCTACCACCTCTACCTCTACCACCACCTCTACCACCACCTCTACCACTACCACCGCCTCCTCCTTTCAGCGTCCCTTCATTGTCGCTCGCCGGGTCTGTCGGGTCGTGAGCTCCACCCCGTCCACCACCGCACAAGTGGCGGTGTGCATCG